TGTGGGCAGAGCAGCTATTTTACTTTACTAAAAAGATAAGCATCCTGTAGTTTGGGCGGTTTCACAGTCGTTGCCCAAGGAAATTTACAAAGATGCTGGTCTAGCTTACTAGGAACTCCCCTCAGATGACTGTTCTGGGAATGATTCAGAGGGCTTGGGGAAAGAATCCTCTTGACTTATATAATTTCATCAGCCGCCCATTTTAATAGAGTATTTTATTGCTAAAATCAAGGAGGAAAGAAATTGCAAGCAAGTCAATCTCAGGCATGCTGCCAGGCAGACCTAGGTCCACGGAAAGTTCAAGGCTGATGGAAGAACCCTCCACTCGAGACTTGTGAGAGCAATCGTGGGCTTATCATGTTAATCATCGAAGGCCTCCTCTGCACCAGGCACTGGACTAAGCATGTCACTCCTTGGGTTGAGGCTTAAATGGTTTTAAAATGAGAGGATTAAAGCTCAGGGGTCTTTAATAACCTGCCCAAGGAGGTTGCTGTCAGACCTGATTCAAACTTAGTTTTGCCAAAGTTCCCGACTCTAAAGCTCCTTTTGTCAAATCTTCAAAGAAATCCCTGATGTTTCTAAAATCTATGTAGCCCACTAGGAAGAAATTGTTTTCTTCTCCCTGATTTCTACTCAAATTTGAGGAGTGGAGAAGAGGCAAGCTCCTAAATGATGGGGGTTGGGAGAAAAAAAAAAAAGAAATTGTTGGTTATAAGTAAAGTCATCTTTTTCAAGTTCATTTCTCTTTCAATTCTGAAAGACTTCACAGCCAAACTTTGTGGCAGAAGATGTTTTCTGTTCATCCAAATTGCAATAATTACACACAATACTGCTTCAGTGTTTTCTGATTACAAATAAACAAAAAACAAACAAACAAAAAACAAGTAAAAGAATAAAGATAGAAAAGCACAAAAAAAATTGAAGGTCATAGGTTCAATTCCTGGTCAGGGCACATGCCTGGGTTGTGGGCTTGACCCCCAGTAGGGGTCATGCAGGAGGCAGCCAATGGATGTTTCTCTCATCGATGTTTCTCTTTCTGTCTTCCTCTCCATTCCTCTCAAACAAAACAAACAAACAAACAAACAAAAAATCAATCCAAAGTGACTATAAAGTATGCAGAAAAGTATAAAAATTATAAATCCCCAGTGAATTAAAGCAACATGAAATTTTTTCTGTAACTACATCTCCCACATAGTTTAAGAGACATTTATCACTATTCCAGAAGATCCCTTCATGCCACCTATACATCACTGCCCTCTATTTTCCCCACCTTGTAACCATTGTGCATATTTCTCTAAACTACTGTTGAGTTTTGCCCAAGTTTGAGTTTTATGTAAAGGCAACACTGCTTATGTATTCATGTTGTTTCATGTAGCTATAGCTCAGTCATTTTTATTATTGTACTAGAGGCCCAGTGCATGAATTCGTGCATGGGTGAGGTCCCTTGGCCTGGCAGGCGATTGGGGCCAATTGGGGGTGCTGGCCAGCCAGGAGGAAGGACTATGGGAGGTTGGCCGGCTGTGGGAGGTTGGCTATGGGAGTGCACTGATCACCAGGGGGCAGCTCCTGCATTGAGCATCTGCCCCCTGGTGGTCAGTGCATGTCATAGCAACCAGTTGACTGGTTGTTCGGTTGCTTAGGCTTTTATGTATATAGACTAGAGGCCCAGTGCACAAAAATTTGTGCACTCTGGGGGTCCCTCAGCCCGACCTGTGCCCTCTTGCAGTCTGGAACCCCTTGAGGGATGTCCACCTGCTGGCTTAGGCCTGCTCCCTGGGGGATTGGGCCTAATATGGCAGTCAGACATCCCTCTTGCAGCCCGGAAGCCCTCAGGGGATGTCCACTTGCCAGCAGGGAGCAGGCCTAAGCTGCAGTCAGACATCCTTAGCGCTGCTGAGGAGGCGGGAGAGGCTCCCACCACCACTGCTGTACTGGCAGCCATCAGCGTGGCTTATGGCTGAGCAGAGCTCCCCCTGTGGTAGCGCACTGACCTCCAGGGGGCAGCTCCTGCATTGAGCATCTGCCCCCTGGTGGTCAGTGCATGTCATAGCAACCAGTTGACTGGTTGTTCGGTTGCTTAGGCTTTTATGTATATAGACTAGAGGCCCAGTGCACAAAAATTTGTGCACTCTGGGGGTCCCTCAGCCCGACCTGTGCCCTCTTGCAGTCTGGAACCCCTTGAGGGATGTCCACCTGCTGGCTTAGGCCTGCTCCCTGGGGGATTGGGCCTAATATGGCAGTCAGACATCCCTCTTGCAGCCCGGAAGCCCTCAGGGGATGTCCACTTGCCAGCAGGGAGCAGGCCTAAGCTGCAGTCAGACATCCTTAGCGCTGCTGAGGAGGCGGGAGAGGCTCCCACCACCACTGCTGTACTGGCAGCCATCAGCGTGGCTTATGGCTGAGCAGAGCTCCCCCTGTGGTAGCGCACTGACCTCCAGGGGGCAGCTCCTGCATTGAGCGTCTTCCCCTTGGTGGTCAGTGTGTGTCATAGTGACCAGTCATTCCCAGTTGTTCTGCTGTTAGGGTCAATTTGCATATTACCCTTTTATTATATAGGATAGAGGCCTGGTGCATGGGCAGGGGCCAGCTGGTTTGCCCTGAAGGGTGTCCCAGATCAAGGGTGCCTGGCCAGCCTGGGTGAGGGGCTGAGAGCCGTTTTCAGACTGGCCATACCTTCTTCAGGGTGGGGGTCCCCGCTGGAGTGCCTGGCCAGCCTGGGTGAGGGGCTGAGGGGTGTTTTCAGGTTGGTCACATTCCCTTCAGGGAGGGGGGTCCTGCTGGGGTTCATGGCCAGTCTGGGTGAGGGGCTGATGGCTGTTTGCAGGCTGGCCAAGCCCCCCAGCGGGGACCCTCACCCCATGAGGGTGTGGCCAGCCTGGGTGAGGGGATGATGGCTGTTTGCAGGCTGGCCACAGCCCCCAGCCACCCAAGCTCCCAGTGGAGGCTGGCTAGAAGCAGATATCTGGGATTTATTTATCTTCTATAATTGAAACTTTGTTGCCTTGAGCAGAGGCCATAGCCAGCCAGGGCAGGCTGGAAGCTGGGCTTCCTCCATCACCGGAGCAACCAAGCCTCCTGCTTGCTCCAGCTCTGTGGCTGCCGGCCACTATCTTGGTTTGGGTAATTTGCATACAGTCACTCTGATTGGCTGGTGGGCATGGCTTGGGGTGTAGTGGGGGGATGGTCAATTTGCATGTTTCTCTTTTATTAGATTAGATAATATTCTATTATAGGTTAGTTTAGCAGACTTAGCAAATAAAAATTCAAGATACCCAATTGAATTTGAATTTCAGATAAGTATTTTTAGTATAAATATGTCCCATGCACTATTTGTAATTTACTTATATTGTAAAATTTTATTTTCCTACAATTTAAATGGGCATCTTATATATTATTTGACAATCCTACTTTTATAATCATTGAAAATTATCTAATACTCTACTTTTGGAAAGTTTCAACTTTTGGCAAGTTTCAACTTTTGGCTATTGCAGATATGTTCCTAAGGACATTCTTATACATGTCTTTTCATCATTAAGGTTTTAAAACAAATTCTTTCTTCTTTGTGCAATATGTGAATATATGCTTTCAATTAAAATGTGATCAAATTATAGTTTCAACCTTTTGCATGTCCTGGACATTATAATTTTGGGAGTGTGTAGTTTCCTTTGGGTGATTGGGAATTGTCAAATTATAGTAAAATTGGGGCACATTTTATTGATAATTTAGATACTCAGTCACAGTTCTAGAGAACCACTCTGGAGACTTTGAAGAATATGAGAGAACAAAAACCAAGAGGTGATTGCAGAATAAGCAAGATAGAACACTCGAGATTTGCCTCCGTCTCTTTTCTAGACAACAGAAGCGAAGACATGATTGAAGATACAATCCCAAGGAAGTACAAGTGGAGAGGAGATGTGGGAAAGCAGCTAAAGGTGGGGCACTACTGAGCTGGCTATGGCTTCAAGAAAACTTTATAGCAGGTTACTTAGTCACAGGAGAGGGCCTTAGAGAGGCCTGTGGATCCATTGAATCGGATTGACAGTTGTAGAATGCCAGCCATTCATCTTTACAGTGTGCTGCTGGGGGTGGTAACACTCCCACACTTCCAGGTTTCGATAGTCTAGCCTTGCTGTTAGGACATTGGCGAGGCCAGATTCTCTCTGGTCACAACCCAGTCAGACCCGGGAAGTAGAGCTGCTATTTAGCCGCTATAGGAAAATGATGGAGGTCTTGCAGAATCCCGTTCCCTGCCTGAGGAAGCTGTGGGACAATGTGAATATATATATACACACAAATTGTCCCTGCAGGAGTTCGACTGGGAGACAGATCGCTGGCTATGACAAGTGCTGACCACCAGGGGTTGGTGCAGAACAAAGGAAGGCCAGGCGGCAGCTGGCAGCCGGGGAAGGGAGGCTCTGTATAAGCAGGAGTGAAAGCTCCGGTAAAGGGGTAAACGGCCTGCCAGAGCATTGAAGCCATGTCTCAAAGCGCACACAGTCCCTCACAGAGGTTGGGAGCTGTGTTGGCTCAAAGTGTGGGTGGAAAAGGGGGTTCTTTGGAAAGTAACCGCCAAGGGTGATCTAGTCACAAATTCCCAACTGGGCAGCTCTTGGTGGGCAGTCACGCCCCAGGCCTATATCTGTAGGAAAATATTTATCTTTGCCTTAAGCAAGCCCTGTTCATGGTTCTTGTGCATCTAGGTTAACACACCTTTGGAATGCCAGGGTAATCCTCTTTTTTTCAAACTTCTTAGAAGCAACCACCTTAAGAAACCACCCATAATCTTATAATCCAATCCCTGTCTCATTATCTCCCACCCTCATGTAATCTTTTTACATTCCCGCCTTAATTTCAAATGTATAAAAGAAACAGCAGTTTGGGTGCATGGCATAAGCAGCCCAGGCAGCGGCAGAGGCAGAGGCAGAGGCAGAGGCGGCGGCAGCAGCGGCAGCAGCAGCAACAGCAGCAGCAGCAGCAGCAACAACAGCGGCCCCGCGAGGCAGGGAGGCAGCGGTACTGGTGCACGGGGCCCAGGTGGCGAGGAGGCGGAAGATGGCAGACGTGCTCAGTGTCCTGCGACAGTACAGCATCCAGAAGAAGGAGATCGTGGTGAAGGAGGACAAAGTCATCTTTGGCGGCGAGTTCTCCTGGCCCAAGAACGTGAAGACCAACTACGTGGTGTGGGGGACTGGACAGGAAGGCCGACCCAAGGAGTACTACACGCTGGATTCTATCTTATTTCTACTTGATAACGTGCACCTCTCTCATCCTGTTTATGTCCGCCGCGCAGCCACTGAAAACATCCCTGTGGTGAGAAGGCCTGACCGAAAAGACCTACTTAGATATCTCAGTGGCGAAGCATCAACGTCGGCGAGCATCGACCGCAGCGCCCCTGTGGAAATCGGGCTTCCGCGACCCACTCAGGTGAATTGCGCCGCGGATGCAGCTCCAGCAGCAAAGAAACCGCGGACTGAGGACGCAGAGCGGGTGCGCCTCGATAAAGAGCGATGGGCTGCCCGCTTGGAGGCCCACGGAGAAGGGAGTGTACAGACTGGACAGATCAGGCCTTTGTCTGAAGCCATGTCCGTGGAGAAAATTGCGGCCATCAAAGTCAAAATTATGGCCAAGAAAAGATCGACCATCAAGACCGACTTGGGTGATGACAGAACCGCTCTCCAACAGAGGAGCTTTGTGGACGCCGACGTGGATGTGACCCGGGACATCATCAGCAGAGAGAGAGTGGGGAGGACACGCACGACTATCCTACAGAGCAGGGGCAAGGCCTTTGCCAAGGATGTTTTTGCAATTCTTCAGTCTGTGGAAGCCAGAGAAAAAGGGCGCGCGCCTCAGCAGCGACCGGCCCCCCGTGCAGCACCTGCGGCTCCCACCTTGCCTACCACACAGCCTATCCCAGCTGCCTACGACAGGTATGACCAGGAACGATTCAAAGGGAAACAAGAAACGGGAGGCTTCCACATTGACACGATGGGCACCTACCATGGGAAGACGCTGGAGTCCGTGACGCTAGAGGGCGCGGCGGCCCGTGAGACTCAGACTCCCGCGGCACAGCCAGTGCCAGTGCCCAGGCCAGTTTCTCAGGCCAGACCTCCCCTGAATCAGAAGAAAGGCTCTCGAACACCCATCATCATCATCCCTGCGGCCACCACCTCTCTCATAACCATGCTGAATGCCAAGGACCTCCTGCAGGACCTGACGTTTGTCCCATCCGATGAGAAGAAGAAACAGGGCTGCCGACGAGAGAATGAAACGCTGATACAGAGAAGAAAGGACCGGGCGCAGCCCAGGGGCACCGCGCTCGGCCTCACGGTGCCCTACAGAGTCGTGGACCAGCCTCTGAAACTCACGCCTCAGGACTGGGACCAGGTGGTGGCCGTCTTCGTGCACGGTCACGCCTGGCAGTTCAAAGGGTGGCCATGGCTTTTGCCTGATGGATCGCCAGTTGACGTGTTTGCGAAAATTAAAGCCTTCCATCTGAAATATGAGCACCTTCCTCTAGACGCCAACATTCAGAAGTGGAACATAACAGTGCTGGAGCTCAGCTATTACCAACGCCACTCGGACAGACTGCTTTTCTTAAGCTTCTGGGATACACTGGATAGCTACATGGCAAGGCATAAATCCCACTTGAGATTCTGAATTACGTGGTTTCCCAGTCGGGAAATCTGGGTTAAGAAGCGTGGATATACCTTCATCTAAAGACTGAGTGTCAAGCTGTATGAATTTATCAAAATCTCACTAATTATGAAGGTCATGGATTGAGCAAAAGATCTCATCCGATGCTTTTGTGCTTCAAAGGGATCACATGATGCCTGTCATTCATATAAGTAAACTTTTTGGCCTACAACTATCTGTAATAATAAAAGCATAATATGCTAATTGGACTGGACATCCTTCTGGACATCCTTCCGTCCTTCTGGAGGAAGCCAGGGCTGCGAGGAAAGCCAGTGCCTACAGCCGGGGGAAGGAAGACTTACTCTTGCATGAAGTTCATGCATTGGGCCGCTAGTTTTTTTTTTTAATATTAGCTTTCTAGTCTGTAATAGAAATTGTATATTTTGATAGAAGTTTTTTCTTCATTGGTTAAATTAGCATTACTTAAAGTGTGTTTCTTAGAAAAAAAAAGAAACTGCAAAACTGTTATTTGCTGAAGTATTTGAGACCTTGTTTTGACTCAAATAAACTCAAAAATTCTCTACAGGTTTGGACATTTCTTATGTTGATGAAAGCATTTAAGTCTCTGTTCAATCATTAGTTGACCATTAAGCAAACCAAGCAGAGACTTCAGTGGTCACACATCAAAAGTGATGGTGCCCTAGCTGGTTTGGCTCAGCGGATAGAGCATCAGCCTGCGGACTGAAGGTCTGGGTTCAATTCTGGTCAAGGGCACATGCCCAGATTTCAGGCTACATCCCCAGTGGGGGAGTGCAGAAGGCAGCCATTCAATGATTCTCTTTCATCATTGATGTTTCTATCTCTCCCTCTCCCTTCTTCTCTAAAATCAATAAAAAATATATATATTTTTAAAAAGTGATTCTTCTTTCATTTAATGTTCTGGGTAAAACAGGAACTGAAAATACACATTTGGATGTGAAATAACATCTAGAAGTCATGTGGGGTGGTAAAATGGCTGAAGTTGGGTTGATTTGAGGTGTTCTAAGTTGAGTGCAAGCCTCAAAACCTAGGTGGAGACCATAGACCAGCCCTGGGCAAACTACGGCCCGCGGGCCGGATCCGGCCCGTTTGAAATGAATAAAACTAAAAAAAAAAAAAAAGACCGTACCCTTTTATGTAATGATGTTTACTTTGAATTTATATTAGTTCACACAAACACTCCATCCATGCTTTTGTTCCAGGCCTCCGGTCCAGTTTAAGAACCCATTGTGGCCCTCGAGTCAAAAAGTTTGCCCACCCCTGCCATAGACCAGCAAGTCATTGAGAAACATGGAAACGAGCATCTGGTGCTGGGCAAGTCCACCTGATAGCAGCCCCACATGAGGCTGCTTCCACCGATGTTAAGCAGAGTTTGAGCACAAGTTCTCCATCTTGCCTGGCATTAGGACCCTCCTTCATCCTCTGTCTCAGATCTTAAAAGCTCAGGCTCCTCAATTGTGTTCTGTTTTATAATCAAGCACCTGAAGTTGGTACACTGAAGTTGTGGCTCAGCTGAAGTCATTAACAAGACCTTTGCCTGCAGCAAGGTGGTGCAGCGCCCCAGCTACTCCTGCAGTGGGAGAGCCTTCAGTGAATTCACCTTCAGCTGGGACTCCAGGCAAGTGCAGAAGCCTAACTAGAACATCCTGAGTCGAGCAGTGCACAGTCTGTCATCTTGTGGGGAATGTTTCTCTGACCTGCCAGAGAAATGGGAGTTTAGGAATCTACAATCAAGACAAATGAGCATAAGCTAAAGGACAAAGCCTCCCAGTAGTCTCGCTACCTAGTGTCAGAAAGCTCTCAGGAAGAGGCTGGCTTCCCCTCTCTGACTCTGCCTCCCCCACTCTGCACAGACTCACGTTTCCACAGCCCGGGGCCAAGGGCACTTTCAATCCAGTGATTCTCTCTCCAGCAGAGTGAGGGTGACCAGCTGGTGAAACCATTTCAGAAGGGCTGATTGATTCTCATGACCCGAGGTGTTGTAAGACTTGTAACAAGTTTATAGACCTCCGTGGAAACCTGACTCATTTTTCTTATCACTCATATATAGGTTTTAAGGTAAACAGATGACCGTGTAGAGGTGATTATTTGGCAAAGAAGGGACATCTGGGCTGTAGTCACAGCAAGTGAATGTCTTTAGCTGGTGGAGGGGGAGAGGAAACACACTTACCAGGATTTTGGTGGGAAAAGAGCATTTTGGGTTAATTTGTCTCAACAGGAGTTTCATTAACTAAATATTCAAGTAGCAGTGTTTGAGATCTGTGATTCTCGACTCTCAAAAGTTGCCTGGAGAAATCTGTTGTCCTCTAGAATGGCTATGTACTGTAGCAGCTCCACCCCAGGGAGCACCATGTTGTTCTTTGCTAGCTCTAGATAGAAAAAACCCATGTGGGGGGCCAGAGGGAAAGACATAGCCTTCATGACATATCTGGGGAAGACCTGATGGCCACCAGTTGGGTGAGTTTCCACATTGGACCTGGATAGGCTAGAGGCTTAACTAGCAAAGGGGAGATGGGGAAAAGAGGAGGGGTGGGGGGAACCGAGCTGGGAAAGGCCTTCGGTCAGACCAAGGACAGAGAACCTGGTAAAGCTTGTTAGCCATCAAGGACGAGGGAAACACTCAGGTCTGTGCTGCCCTGCTCCTCATGGTCACTGGCCAGGCGGACACCATTCCACTGACTGGGAGGTGGAACTGGGCTATATCCTCGCTTACCCTACAGGCTACACACTTCAAATACCCAGCACTGAGAATAGTGCCAGGCTACTTCCCACAAGCATGTCAAGGAGAAATCAGTCTGACTGAACTTTTAAGAACATAAATGTTTTTTAAAAACCTAACCAAGAACAAACCCTGGGACGCTGGAAAATCAGTGTTTCTTCTGTAAGTCAGCAGCAATCACTGGTGTTGGCACACCTGAGAAGTTACAGGTGCCTCAGTCCAAACGTCAGGTCTCAAATAGTCTTCTCAAATGCTAGTGGTCAAAACTAGTCTTCAACAATTGCTCATGTGTGTGGGCCCTGATTATTAGTATAGGCAACTGTTACAGCTGGACAACTGGCTGCCCTACGTCCACTACCACAACCCTCAGCCACTCCCATAGTCTCAGAGAAGTTACACATCCTCAACACTCCACTTGTGGGCCAGTCTCTCCATCGCCTTCCTGCTGGCAAGCCTGGGAAAGCGCTTCTGCTCAGATCCACTGCATCTGTACATCCATCCCTGTGATATCCAGGACAGATGGTGAATCTGTTGGGAGGAGGTGCTGGGCCGCTGTAGTGATGTCTCACTTTCTTATTCTTGTTCTCCTTGGCATTATTCTTCTTGATAAAGTTGGCCATGGGGTCCCCTTATCTTTCTTGTTCTCTCAGCATCTGATCCACATCTATATCATTAATACAGCAGGCCAGAGGCTTTTGCATTTTCTTTATTGCATCCTCCACATTTTGTTGCTGCTGCTGGCTCTAGACAAGCCCCTTTCCCCACTGGGCATATAGAGCACCTCTCTGAGTCCTTGTCTGTTTCTCTCCTTTGCTCTAAACTTTCAAGTTTCTTTTATGACCAGACTTATCTTGAAATATGGTTTCAGCATATTGGAATTCAGCTTCAACTACCATGGTTTCTTGAATTTCTGCTGCTCTCGCTGTTTGTCAGTTAACACCAACCCAGTGCTGGCCCTAGAATACACGTGTGCAGCCTTCTTTCCCAGAGGCTGAGCGCTTTGAGGTGGAGACAGGTAGGAATCAGAAGAGTTGGCCCTCTTGTTTCCTCCCTGGTGGAGAGGGCTCAGAAACCGAGCTCTAGTCTTCCAGGTCTCTTTCATGGAGGTGACATATCTGAATCAGAATCCTGGGGCCCTGAACTTTGTTTCTTCAATGGAGGAGAATGATCTGAACTGGAGGCTTTCCAACTGTCACTTGGGAAGAAAGAAAAATCCAACGTGTGACTCTGATGTCTTCTAGGTGAAGCGCTTGTATGAGATTTCCCATGGCTGGTGAAGAGCCTTTAGAATCATGCTGTGTATTTCCAAAATGGAATTTTGCTTGCTTTTTTTGTGGAGGAGAGTTGTCTGAGTTATATTCATATTTGCTATTCTTCAGGTGTGAGGGATGAAAGAGTCCTGGATCCTTCCAATGTGGAGAAGTGTTGCTAGAGGCTCTTTCTGGGGCTTTATTGCTTTTGGTTCGGGGCAGTGAATGAGGAACATTAGGAACCAAATTGGGGAAGTTATGACTGGCCCTCCTGAGCTGCAATGTGTCCAAAGATTTGAGTCTTTCTAGGTTGAGATGAGTCAGGGGAGCTGTTCGGCACTTCTTTTGGGAGAGATATCTGAGGAATTGTTATCGGTTCCCCTAAGAGGAGAGGACCTGGGGTGTCATATGGACCCTTCTAGGAGGAGAGGATCTGGGGTATTATATGAACCCCCTACCTAGGAGGAGAAGGATCTGGGGAGTCATGACAGAAATGTCTGTGTGAATGTAGATCCTCATTATGGCCTCCCAGAAGCTTCTATTTGGCACTGGATGAAAGGTATTTACCTGCTCAGCCTCTTCTGGCCACTTATCCATCAATTCAGCCACTGAAGGCAACTCTCTATCATCTTCCTTTTCCTTCTTTTCTGGTTTAGTGGTGGAGAAAGATGTACAGCTCAAATCATCCACAATCCACATTCCCCTCCCACCCACATGACCAGATTAAACCACTTTTTGCGACACTTGAGAGTGGAGTCTGAGCTCCTGTGGTAGCAGGCATCTGTCCCTGACAAATAACTTCAGATACTTGGCCTTGGAGGATAGAGAGGAGCTGTCTGTCACCACTGCCCTGGTGAAGGCAAGGGCAGGCTCTGAATGAACTTGGTATAAAGATATTAGCTCTTGATTGGATGAAAGGATTTGAGAAGAAAACTGGTTAAAGCAGCTTAGGGAAGTGGTGAGCTGTCAATTGGTTTTTGGAGTTTGAATAGAATTTACCTGGGCACAGGTTAGGT